TCATCGTGTCTGATCATGACCCTAGCTTCATGGCACGATTCTAGGTGAGTCTTCAAAAGGTTATGGGCACTAAAGTTCACTTATCCACCACCTACCATCCCCGGACTGATGGACTGTCAGAGAGGACCATCCAGACAATGGAAGACCTGCTAAGAGCATTTGTCTTGACGATGGAAGGAGCTTGGGATGAGCATTTGTATCTAATGGAGTTTGCTTACAACAATCAATATCACAGTTCGATACAAGCAGCTCCATATGAGGTTTTGTATGGGAGGAAGTGTCGTACACCACTATACTTGGATGCAGAGTGAGTGCAACAGCTAGAGGATCCAGAGATGGTACAAAAGGTAGTGGAGAAGGTGAAGGTGATTCGCCGGAACTTGAAGGCGGCTTAGGACCGACAGAAGAGTAATGCTGAAAGGCTGGGAAACCACGCAGTTATGAAGTGGGTGATATGGTATTTCTAAGGGTGTCTCCTTGGAAGAGAGTGATAAGGTTTGGAAAGAAGGGAAACCTTAGTCCGAGGTGTATTGGGCCATACGAGGTGTTGGAGCGTATTTGACCCTTAGCCTATCGGCTAGCCTTACCTCCTAGCCTATCTAGGATTCACGATGTTTTCCACGTCAGCATGATAAGGGAGTATCGGTCTAACCCGAAGCACGTGATCAGGCATGAGGACATCCAGTTGGAGGAGGATTTAACCTATGAAGAAGTCCCGGTACAGATTGTGGATAGGCAGGAAAATGGGTTGAGGAAGAAGAAGATTGCCATGGTGAAGGTGGTATGGAGGAACCAGGGCAACGAGGCTGCTACTTAGGAGACAGAGAGTAGCATGAAAGAAAAGTACCCAGAGTTATTTAATGGTGCTTAGATCAGTAGTTGGTGAACCTTTGTGTACTCCCACTTTTAGTTCTCTTTTTAGTTCTCATTTCTCGGTATTTCAATAATCGAACCTGGTGGTTTAGTCCGCTCGCACAATAGCTAACAACTCAGTTCGCCCTATAATTTCGAGGTCAAAATTTCGGTCTAGGATAGAGTCAGTAACCAATGGTTACTGACCTATCAGTAACTAAACCAGGACCGTCGATCTAAGGACAAAATCATCATATGGCTGGGCTGCACGCGGAGTAAGGAGGGACATTTTTGTCCGATTTTTGAAATTTGATTTCTTTCCTTTTTTTAAACTTTTCCAGCATTTATATGATGTCTTTTATGGAGGAAAGAGAAAACAGACTTCTCTCTTCCTCTCTCTTTTCTCTTTCTTTCTTCCTTTCTCTCTTCCAAACTCCTTTTCCAGATCTAAATCTCATTTCTTCTCTTGTTCTTCATTTTTTTCTCTCCAACAATCGACAAAGAAATTGCAGCCTACCACTTCAAATCCGGTGACGCTCCAAATCCTTTTTTCTCTCAAGCTGCTCCTTCCTTCTGTTTTTTCTTTTCTCGGCCTCAAAATCGATGACGCTCCATATTGTCAAAGAGGGGACAGATCTAGGTGAGTCAAGTTTGGATCTATTGTGTTTTAGTATTTATTTGTGAATTTTCAATTCCGATCTTCCTCCTCTTTTTTCTTTCTTTTTGCATTTGGTACTTGATTGTGGAGGAGTAAATGAGAGGAGACAGAAGACGAGCTTTTTTTCTCTTCCTCCTTCTGTTTTCCCCTTTTTTGAGAATATATATTGATATTACTACACTATACCATATGGTAATGTGTGTTAACTAAATGTATTTTTATAGTCACGAGTTTTATCATGGTGGTAGTGGGTGGTAAACGACACCAGTTCCGAGAAAGAAGAGTTAGAAGACAATGAAGGGAGAGAAGAAAGTGAAGAAAGTCGTAATTGTATATATATGTATATATATATTGAGATTACCACACTATACCATATGGTAATGTGTCTATACCATATGGTAATGTGTGGTAACGAAATGTATTTTTATGAATATCATGTTTTTACTATAGTCGTAGAGGGTTGTAATTAGATTTATATGATTTTACTTTCTCATACCATGTGGTATTATATGGTAATTATAATTAATTTGTGGTCTATTGATTTACCATGTTCTACTATGGTGGTATTGTATGCTAGTTAGATTTATAATTTTCAGTAGCGTTGTTTACCAAGTTATACCATGTGGTGGTAGTTTGATTTGTAATTTTATTTTAGCATGTTATACCATATGGTATGGTATGGTAATTAGATTTGTAAATTTATGTAGCATGTTTTACCACGTTATACCATGTGGTATTGTATGGTAGTTAGATTTGTAATTTTCTTCAACATATTTTACCATGTTTTACCATGTGGTATTATATGGTAGTTAGATTTGTAATTTTCTTCAACATATTTTACCACGTTTTACCATATGGTATTGTATGGTAGTTAGATTTGTAATTTTCTTCAACATATTTTACCATGTTTTACCATGATAGTAGAAAGTGATAATCATATTTATACTTGTAATTAGTTTCTTCAGTACTGAATTATTTAATGAAAATATCATCATTCAATTTGAGTTGGAATTAGAATAGAGATTGCTATGATGGTTAGATTCATTTTTTTTGTAGATGAGAGAGAGAAGAAATAATGTATTTTTTATTTTAATAATAAAATAAAACAAAGAGTGAGAGAGAGGGAACTAGTGGAGGAGTGGGGTGGGAGAGTGGGATCCGCGCCGGGTAAAAAAAAGTCAGCGTCAGAGTGTCAGCGCGTCAGCGTCAACATTAAATAGGGGTGCAATTTACCTTTGTGCCCCTCCGTGTTTAATTTAAATAAAAGGAAAAGGCTGACACGTGGGGACAGATGATTGGGTTACTGACAATTACTGACATGAAGGATACTGACCTGATCTGGTCCCCAAAATTACTTAAGGGGGAGGGAAATGTCATATCCAAACTAGCGTCATCCCTTCAACAACAACGTTGCATCGGAAAAGGGACTACAATACCGTTCAAATTTCGAGGACGAAATTTTTATAAGGGTGGAGGAAATGTAACACCCCGACCTTTGAATGCGGGTTCGACCAATATACGTGATCGGTTGAATTGACTGTTGCGCACTAAGAGTTGCAACCACGAATTTGGAATAATAATAATAACTATTATTATTTTATTATCATTATTATTATTAAAAAAATAAAAAATATATATAATGTAGAGAGGTGGTAGCCGCTAGGCCCCCTTCCCTGAATTTGTTTCCCCACGCAAACCCCAGCAACAAAAATTCCCAGCATTAACCCCCCAACCGCCGCCCTTCCCTACTTCTCATCACGGGCGGGGAAAAAAAAGAAGAAGGGGTCGCCGCCTCTCTGCTACCGACCCCGACCTCACCCCTCTCGTGTTCTAGGTAAGGATCACAAATCCTCTCGTGATTCCAAAATCGATTCATCGATAATCTAATCTGAAACTCGTAGTTTTGTACTATAGCGTTTGCGGTGACATTTGAGGGTTTGAACATCGATAAACGAGGAGATCAAAATCTCGGGTCCTCCAATCTAGTTCTAGGCACGTTCTAGAGGTAAGGTAACTCGATCTCTTTGAGTTAGATTGATCGATTTGGTAGTTTTTCGTGAGGGTGCAATTCTGGGGTTTTAGCAGTAGACTTTATAGGCTTTTAGTGACAGATTTTGGGTGGTCACTAAAGCTGCAGGGAATTTCCAGAAACGTATTTTTTTAGATGTATTGATTGTTTCGAGCCTCTGTGGGAGTTGCTTTCTGAATTTAGCAATTTTATAAATAAAGAGGTGTATAGGAGATGTCTTTTATCTAATTTGAGAATTTTTAAAAATGAATTATTATTTTTATAAATTAGATGAATGTCAGTTTTATTTAAATACAAATCCTGCCGATGTGTTTTTAAAAGTTTGATAATTTTTCTATGATCTTGGTTCTTTTGATTAACATGAAAAAATTGTTATTCGAATTTTTAAGAGGGTCCAAGTTAGGTGAAAAATTCGTCCAAGACCAAAATAATTAGAAAAAATGGTCGGTTTTGAAGGGATTATTTCTATAAAAAATTTAAAGGGGGTTAAGGGACATTTGGAACGAGGCACGAGGACTGGATTTTGAGGAGAGGATGTTCTAGTGAATCAAAAGGAAAATTTAAAATCAAGAAAGGTTGACAAAGGTGATGGGCTTCTTACTAATAGGTTCACCGAGATAATTTGGCTAGAAGAGATTTCTTCGAGTAAGGAATCCAGGAGTCATCTTTTCAAGGTGAGTGTAAAGGGGGTAAATTCTACGTCTTAAATGTTCTTTCAAGTTTTACGGACTTTAAGTATTTTGATGAAGTGATTGTTATTGTTTAATTGTGTTTATTATTGGTGATATGTGCGTGGTTTGAGCTTTGCTTGAAGGGATTATGTATGAGTTGTTATTTACTTTAAATCTTTATACTTATGAGTTGTTATTGAGGTTTAAGAAACAAGTTTCTTTTTAAGAAGTACTTCACCTTCAAAAGGTGGACACATTCAAAACAGACAGGGCTAGGGTAACTCTTCTAGCAAGGGAAATAGTTTTTTGCTTTCCAGGCTGTGAGTCTCTTGTCAATTTTGTCAAGGATATATCTATAGGTATTCCTAGTAATTCTACCATGAAGCACTAGAACTTCTAGATACTTTCCTAGGTCATTGGTGGACTGAATACCAAGAGCATCACAAACAGACTTTTTCACATCACTTTTAGTGTTAGGAGAAAAGAAAATACGAGACTTGTTCTCCTTACTAATCAATTCCCCTAACGCCTCACAAAAATTGTTTAAACAAGACAACAAATAGATAACTTGAATGGGGGAAGCCTCAGCAAAAAGGACCAGGTCTCCGCAAAGAAAAGGTGGGAGAGCGGGGGACCATTCACAGACAGGACCATAGGTTTCCAAGACTTGTTCTCAACAGCTCTGAAAAGGTGTGCTCTCATGACAGATTGGGCATTTGTCCTCTTTGTGTCCATAATGTCCACACTCGAAGCACACAATGTGAAGGCCTTCGTATTCAACCCTTCTCACTCTCCTTTTCAACCTATATTTTGACGCTAGCTTCTTTCTAAGATCAATTTCAATGCAGATTCTGGCATAGTTTCCCCGAAACCCATTCGCAGTATTGTAGTCAATCTTCTCAACCCTCCGTATTTTGTCCCCAATGTTGTACAAGATTTCTTCGTCAAATTAAGCGAGAGGGAGTCTAGGAAGTCTTACCCAGACCGAGGTCTTGTTGATGGTGTAGTAATCTAGATCAAAATCGAGCCTCCATGGCTCTGCGACAATGTAGTGATCCTCCACCGCCCAGGGTCTGCAATACAGGGCTCGATCATGATCTAGTTGGGTGTAAAAAATTGCTTGGTAGTATCCGTTGCCAATATCGCCGATTTGATTTATCCGGTTTTAGCCCACATCTTCAGGACCCTTCTTTGAAGAAAAGCAAAGGGGAAGAAGGTACCCAAAACTCTGAAAGTTATCGCTTTGTGCCATAGCTTCCTGATTTTGGCATTCGTGCTTTTCTTAACCCTAACTGTCTGGCAATCTAGTTCGTCGTCACCATCTTCTCCTTCTGATTCGTCTGACATAAGCTCTTCTCCGTCCGAGAACTCTAAAGGCGGAGTATTCCCCAGAATCCTATCTTCGTAGGTCACCCTGGGTGGGCTCACGTTCATTGGGATGGTCTGGTTATCCCCTTTTCTGGCTTGTTCATCTTCTTCCGCTGATTGGCAGTTCTATTGTTCTCTAGATGTGACCACATGAAACTCCTTTTACCCTTGGCCGAGGGAAATTGGTGCTCTCCACGCATTTGGACTTCTTCGTTGGTTGAGCCGACGAACTTGTCAGGGAGCCATCCGGTGGCTTAAGGCAGTGGTCAGCCTATTCAGTCGGGGGCTTGGTCCCAACGCTCATCTCGGCGACCGATGGAGAAGCAGGAGAGAGGAGGGAGCTTTGCTCTCTCTCTTAAACTAGGGATTAAAAACCATTCATCTCTTGGTTTTTGCAATGTTATATAACATTGGTGGTGCTATATAGGGTTTTGCTTTTATGGTACAACTTGAAGTTATACCTTTAACATTATGCTACAAATTTAGAATGTACATATACTCTTATGTACATATTCTTTCATGGTACAACTTGAATTTGTACCTTTATATGATGGTACAACTTCAAGTTGTAAAGTTATACCATAACATAGGGTACAAATTCCTTTATGATAAAACTTGAACTCATACATTTAGCGTTATGGTATAACTTCAAGTTGTACATTAAAGCACCAATACTTTATAGTGTAGTAGAAGTGCTCATATATATATGGGTGGTTCTATTGTACCTTGAGTAAGATCAAAATTATAACATATTTTGAGTAAGAAAATAATATGTAGACCTTGAATTGATCGGATTTTAGCATCTAATAATATTCCCAAACCCTTAAAGATTAAAATTTGGGTCTTAATTCTATAAATCTCACACAATAAGATCAGTTCAATCATAAATAAAAATCGACGTTTATGATTCGTCGAAATATATGCCACAAATTATATGCACAATCTTAGGGGTTAGGCTCTATGATTTAGATTGTACATATACTCTTATGTACATATTCTTTTATGGTACAACTTGAATTTGTACCTTTATATGATGGTACAACTTCAAGTTGTAAAGTTATACCATAACATAGGGTACAAATTCCTTTATGATACAACTTGAACTCATACATTTAGCGTTATGGTACAACTTCAAGTTGTACATTAAAGCACCAATACTTTATAGTATAGTAGAAGTGCTCATATATATGGGTGGTTCTATTGTACCTTGAGTAAGATCAAAATTATAACATATTTTGAGTAAGAAAATCATATGTAGACCTTGAATTGATCGAATTTTAGCATCTAATAATATTCCCAACCCCTTAAAGATTAAAATCTGGGTCTTAATTCTATAAATCTCACACAATAAGATCAGTTCAATCAGAAATAAATATCGACGTTTATGATTAGTTGAAATATATGCCACAAATTACATGCACAATCTTAGGGGTTAGGCTCTATGATTTAGATAACTAAAACCTAGGCTTGACTCATCAAGTGTTAGGGTATAGTATCATGCCCAAAAATCTGGTTAATTCGAGGTCTAGATGGTGCTTTCTTACTCAGGGTATATCATACCCTAAATTTTACCCAAAGTACGATATAAGCCACCAAATATGTTGACACGCCACAACACAACACCAAATTGCGACCAAGTGTAATCGCAGCCTGGAAATGCAGTAAGTGGCAAGCTCTAATTGTCAACCCGGGGCCTAGATCTACTGCCTACTTCGTGTATATCTGTTATCTAGAAAACTAAGTTGAGTGATTGTGATTTTAACTAAAATCAGTAAGAAAGCAGGAAATGGTTCAGTTTTCTAAATCAAAGGATGAGTCACTCGGGAATGAGTCCCCCTAGCTCCTTAGTTAGGTCTTAGTTGTAATTACCCTGAGTTGATTAACTGTTGATTAAACTACGGAAGATCCGACAGTAGCTTGGAATCTCTTAAGCTGACCAAGCCATCTTAGGCAGGCTAACCGGCAGGCAACTAACCTTCACCAAGATAGACTGCTGAGGCAATTAGCACAAAATTCCACTACTGGAATTGGGTTCCAGTACAAAGCAGTAGATTGATTAACTCTCGTATAACCAATCTACCACTACCGATTGATGAAGCTCTTACAACCGAATCAGATTCTATCTATCTCAGGTTGCAGCAGAAATCAAGAAAAGATGATCAGACTTCAATTGAGTCAATGAATCATGCATCAATCGATTAAAATCAAACAGTATGACAATCCCAAGTCATTACAATCAAGATCCTAACACATGGAACTAGGGTTCTTCATACCCAAGTGAGAGAAAGTTATACTCCATAGAGAGAGAGAAACAGAATACAAAGCCGTCATACTCATAACAATGGGAAGAATCTGCTCTGGGATGTCAATCTTCACTCCTGGGGATGCAATCTGGGCTTCAATGGTGAGAAATCCACTCCAAATAGCTCCTCGGGTTTGTTCTTCGCACTTTCTCTCTCTAAAAATATATTTTTGCTCCAAAAAGTCGATTCCCTCTCCTTTGGCTCGAAATTTGGTTAAAACCCAGAAATTCCCTACCACACGGCCATGTGGAAATTGCAGCTGCCCATGTGGCTCTCAAAACACCGCGTTTCGATTAAGTGACTTCCAGGCATGTTGCACGGCTAGGGACACACGGCCGTGTGGATTTCCAGGCTGCCCGTGTGAGCTTCATGGACTTTCCACACGGCCACAAGGGGTCCCCTACACGGCCAGTGTGGCTTGCCCGTGCAAAATGGTGCCACACGGCCAAGTCACACGGCCGTGTGGGATTTTAGGTGTGCCCGTGTGGCTTCCTCAGCTTCTCGCCAAACGTCCAATCTTCGTCCAATCGACCGCGAACTCGTTCCCAAACTTTCATTCACGTACTAGGACCTGAAATATCACAAACAAGAACAACCTAGCGTGAAATCGGCCTAAACACGAGAAATAAGACTCAAACGGAATAAGAATGGTGGACAAAAACATGTGTATATATCAAGTCATCAAATTCCCCCACAGCTAACCGTTTGCTTGTCCCCAAGCATACCAAGTCAGATACAAGGTAAGCTCAGCATATTTCAATCATACCAACATTGGGACGATTCATATAGGCACAGAACACGTGAATCGTACTAGCTTTGAAACATCAACTCGTGAGCAACTTCAACAGCAACCTGGACAACCACCACAGAGGACATTCGAGTGCAGCAAAATTGAGTAAAGGAGGAGTCTCCCTTCTGTTCATCAACCAACATAGACTTGACTTAACCACTTACTCAAGAGAGTCACCTCATGCACAAAACTCAAGATATCAGAATTAAGACCGAGCAATCTAGGTCCTCACCGGAGTAAAAGAGTATAGAGAAAAATGAGAAAATGAATCACTCACTCTCGACCAGTGGGGTCAGGACAATTTGATGCGAAAAATGCGCATGCTTATTCTCTCATCACTAACGTCTCTTCACCATGAAGGAAGCCTCTAAATGTTAGATTTTACATATGGGGTGTCACCACTAACTAACCCAGAGGTCTTAGACACAGGTTCAGATGACTGGCTAGGGTCTTGGACATGGGGAAAAGGCCTTTTAGGTGGTGGAAGTATTCATAGCACAAGGTTCCACAATTCCAAACCCAACACAATCATAGTCAATCAAACCACTTACTTTCTTTCTGCCATTCTGCATTACTCACATTCTCTAGAGCACAAGAGCGAATGAGGTCACATAAATGTTAGTATTTCCAAGCCAGACTGCTAAGAAACACTACTTAATGGGCACTATTCATATTTTTGTGGTGGTGGCTCTCTTTTGCTTTCATTCATTTTTTTTTTCTTTTCTCTTTTTTTTTTTCATTTCTTGAGAGAACCACCACCTATGCACATTTTTCAAACACATGCCTAACTTTTTAAGAACTACCTCCAACCCTGACATTATATTTAGCAGAAATAACAGAGAACATGTAAAAAGGGTGATTTTCCATTGTAGACCGAAAGAAAGGATAACACATCGATCAAAGGGATGACTAGGGGGTATGACACCCCAGGACAGTCAATTTGGTCATGGACTAATCCTATTCCTCCATCATCTTAGCTAATGACAACGTGAATGCTACACATCATGGAAGAGGGAACTATCGCACAAGAAAGAAACGAGCAGGCTAAAATCTCACATGGCTACCCATATACTCTATCTCTCATTCTGATTCCCTGAACTAGATGCATAAAGGACTGTCAAGAGCAAGTGATCAGTCCAAGTCACAGTTGATAAGCAAATAGTTGAAAAACTGAACCTCCTACACAATTCTACTGCACGTCTCAGCCATCATCATAGGTTGTCCTAGTTACTATCAAGCTTTCATGCAATAATTCGAAAGCCATTCGATTCAACAATCAAATCCATAGTGCCAATATGATCATGCAAACATCAGTACTTGGAGCCCTCAAATCTCGAGATTTGGACAGCGGACTAGGCTCCAAGCACACAAACTCATCTAGCAGTCAACGACAGATAAACACCCCCCACACTTAAGCACGACATTGCCCTCAATGGAGCAGAGGAAAAGACAAGGGGAAACGATGTTACCGGGAATACGGACTGTCGGGGGACTGGAAATGGGACCAGTCAACCGAGCTAGAGTCATCAAAACACAATGGGTGATAAAAACCATAGCTCTAAGTGGACAAACCGAAAAACAAATGAAAGAAAAACAAAACTTGGTGGGGTTGCCTCTCCACAAGCGCTTTTTTATAGTCATTTAGCTGGACGCAAGTAGGGTGGATGCTCAGAGAGGTGAAGGAACATGTGCCTTCAAGAGCGGATCCACATCGCTCTTGAGGTACAACTTCAGGTGGTGGCCATGCACTCGACGAGTGTGACCACCAGCACTCGTCAACTCAACCTGGCCATCCGGCAGGATGCAAGCGAGTGAATACTCGGATGGCCAAGGAGGTCGAGGCTCAGGAGGCGGGACCAGCTCATAGTGGTCTCCGGCTTTCTTTTGAGCAGGCTTGGCTACCTGCAGTTTTGGCCGCCACTCCTCCTTGATCTTTTCTTTTGGTAATGGAGTGGACGGGAGTGGCGGCGAAAATATGGGAGGGGGATCCTGAAAAATGGGCAGCACAGAAGGATACACGACAGACTCGTGCTCCTGGTGAGAAACAGCATGCAAAGGCGATGAAGCAGGGAGAGTATTAGCAATGGAAAATGTTATTCGCTCCTTGCCATCCCTCAAGACTAAGGTCCTATCATGCACATCTATGAGAGCCTTGGCGGTGGCCAGGAAAGGCCTTCCTAGTATAAGGGGCACTTCTGTGTCTTCATTGATGTCCAAGACAACAAAATCCACAGGATAAAAGAATCTGCCAACCTTAACCAGAAGGTCTTCCACTATGCCCCTAGGATGAACTATAG